CGAGGCAGGAGACTCGCTTGAGCCCAGGAGTTGGAGGTTGCTGTGAGCTGTGATGCCATGGCACTCTACCCAGGGGGATAGCTTGAGGCTCCATCTCAAAAATAAATAAATAAATAAATAAATAAAAGTACACCTCCCTGGGGAATTTCAGAGGGGAATTTCAGAGTAGTAAAGTACTTGTTTTAAAATTGAGGAAGGCGGTGCCCAGAGCTCAGTGGGTAGGGTACCAGCCACATACACCGTGGCTAGCAGATTCATATCATCCTGGGCCAGCTAAAACAATGCAACAAAAAAAATTGCTGGGTGCTGTGGTGGGCACCTGTGGTCCCAGCTACTTGGAAGGCTGGGGCAAGAGAATTGCTTGAGCCCAAGAGTTGGAGGTTGCTGTGAGCTGTGACACCATAGCACCTACCCAGGGTGACAGTTTGAAACTCTGTCCCCCCAAAAAATAAAAATAAATAAAAAATAAATAAGATTTGAGGCAGATGGACAAATGTAATGAGCCACTTCATAAACAGCATGCCCAAAGTCAGATAGTGTGCCTGCTCATTCTCAGACCACACCCAGGTTTTCTCTGGCTTTGTCTGGCCTTTCCTTGTCAGACCCTGCATTTGCCTCAAAACTGCTTTCCAACTAAACCTTGGCTGGCTGCCAGGACAGGAGTTCCACAGACTTCAGGTCCACAAAGGCCATATAGTCCACCAAAGCTAAGAGGAGTAAAAGCCCTTACCAGGAAGCTCTCCTAGCTGTGACCCCTGCATCATCCCAAAAAGTCTACAAACCTCTCTAAAACCAGGCGGTTGACAGTGTCACTGGTCACTGGTGGCAGGTTCAAGGTTTCCTGCAACATTTTTAACTTCTTTTTCAGGCTCTTGGAGAAAGAAAGAAAAGACTGTGAGAGGAAGGTTGAGGCATTGAGTCCATGTACTGTGTTTCCCTGAAAATAAGACCTACCCCAAAAATAAGCCCTAGCAGTATTTCTATGTATTTGTTAAATATAAGCCCTACCCTGATAATAAGACCTAGTGATAGGCATGCATTTCAGTGCAGAGCAGTAAGGAAGACTGGAATACCTTTTATCTGCCACAGCTCCCTTCTCCGAGCCGTTTGCACTTGCACTTGCACAGGTGCACGTGTGGTAACAGGGGTCGCAGACATCCTATTGTGCATGTGCGAACAGCTAGGGGAAAGGAGTTCACGCATTACTAGCACCAGCCCCACCAACAAGGTTGGCTGTCCCTGTCAGGTTCCAGAAGATGACTTAACTGTATTTGAATAAATGTAGATTGTTGTATTATACTTAATAAAAATAAGACATCCCTTGAAAATAAGCCCTAGTGTGTCTTCTTGAGAAAAAGTAAATATAAGACAGTGTCTTATTTTCGGGGAAACACGGTAATAGAGGACATGAGCAGTATACATGAAAGGCAGGTCCACTGGGAACAAAGCAAGGCAGAAACCCCAACATCAGGCTCAGCAGGCCAAGCCCATCAGACTTTAGAACCCCTCTTTGGTAGAGCCCCTCCTCTGGTGACTAAGGACCTCAAGGATGTAGATACAGGAAAGACTGAGGGAAGACCCATGGTGTTATTTGCTTTCTGCCAAGGAGGACCAGACTCTAGACCAAACCAGAACCAAAAAGCACACCCTTACACAGGAGGATACAAGGAGCCCAGAATCATCACCTGGTGCACAGGTTCCTGGGTAGAGACAACCCAGCCCTCCTCTGGGAAAGCACACAAACCTTTTATTCCTATGAGGCCAGGGATATTCCTCACCGTGATTTCCTTGTCAGCACTCTGTAAGTCCTTCTGGGCTGACTTCAGCTCCAACTTGGCCTGATCCAATTCAGAGTACACTGTCTGCAACTATAAGAAAGTATAGGGCGGCACCTGTGGCTCAGTGTTTAGGGCACTGGCCCCATATATCGAGGGTGGTGGGTTCAAACCCAGCCCTGGCCAAACTGCAACAAAAAAATAGCTGAGCATTGTGACAGATGCCAATGGTCCCAGCTACTTGGGAGGCTGAGGCAGGAGAATTGCCTAAGCCCAGGAGTTGGAGGTAGCTGTGAGCTGTGACGCCATGGCACTCTACCAAGGACAATAAAGTGAGACTCTGTCTCTTAAAAAAAAAAGTATAGAGCAGTGATTCTTATCCTTCCTAATGCCTCAACCTTTTATATAGTTCCTCATGTTGTGGTGACCCCTAATCATAAAGTTATTTTTGTTGCTACTTTATAACTGTAATTTTGCTACTGTTATGAACTGTAATGTAAATATCTGATATGCAGGATGTATTTTCATTGTTACAAAGGCGTCCTGACCCACAGTTGAGGACTGCTGATACAGAAAGAAAAAGCCAAGTGGTGGCCATGTGCTCTGTCCCCACCTGCTGCTACCCAGTGCATGGTCAGGGTAGCTTAGGGTCCAGAAGAGACTGGAGATATAGGAAGCGATTTCAACTATCTGAGGATAGGCCTTAGTCTGGCAAAGCACATCTGGAGCTGCCCAGGAATAAAAGCTGCTTCTTACACCCTGCAGCCTTTAGATGGACCATATAGAAGTAACGGCAGCTGTGCTGACCAAATCAAGTTCTAGGAGCTCTCCTACTCTGGGCCTGGTACAAAAATAAGCCTTTGAAACTGTCATGTTTGGGGCTTAGGTTCTTAAACCAGAAGAGCAGAGGGGATAAGTATGCATGGTTGGAGGGAATATATCCATGATTTTCTACCTCAAGTGGACAAGCCACATAGACAATGAGCAGTAAGGACCAGTAACCAATCTCTATAAATCCCACGGAGTCAGCTATGCCATCAGGACCCATGGCTTTGACCAGGAGACCTGAGTGAGCATGCCAAAAGGAAAGCCACCTCTCCCTTTACCCTCTGCTCCCCACTAAGTTACCTTACTTCTGGAGGAAAGCAAGTCCTTCTTCAGCTTGTCAGCCAGCTCCCCTGAGGCTTTCCGTGCCTCCTTTAGATTCTCATACTCTCTGTAAAGTTGCCATTAAAAGAGATGGCAGAATAGAACAGCCAGTAGGTCAGACAGAGCCACAGCACCAACCTAACACAAAGCACTACCCAAACCCTCAGCTCATTCTCATTCCCACTTTATTATCTGAGTCCAGCCAGGTGTCACTAGGGAGGGTATTGCACAAAGACTCTGTTCCCTACCTGTCCTATAAGGGATAGGGTATGTAGGAAGCTCCAGCCTCACTAGAGGGCTCCCTACATCCTCCTATATGAGGCATCTTAAGACTTTCTGTGCCTGTCAGCCAAGGGGCCCCACTTCCTGCCAACCTCACACCCACCACAGAGAAGAATATGAGCAAAGTTTGATGCAAGCCAGGGAGGGCAATAATAGTGCTAAAATCATGATGGGGCTTATAGCTTAGAGGGCTGTATCAGCTCCCTTAGAAACAACATGTATAATTCACACTCAATTCTCTTAACAACTGTGAGGCATGTCTAATTCTATCTCCATTCAGGAAGCTGAGGGTTAGAGAAGCCAAAATACTGGCCTCAGTACACAAAGCTGATGAGATATAGAGGTAAAGTCAGGTTTCAAACTACAGCAGCATGGTTCCAGAGCTTGCCTCTTCTCCTTAACTCCATCTGCTTTACAAGAGATGGGAAGCAGTAGCATGGCTGGGGCCCCATGGACTATCTCCTGAGCTTGTTGAAAGGGGCCAGAGTACATACTTCTTAAGGGACACACAGTACATAGCCAGCTGCTCCACTGCTGGCTGTCCCACACCCATGTCTCGAATCATCTCCTCCACCTCAGGCCGCTGGCTCTGGAGTAGAAGCTCAATCCTGAAAAACACATCCAGCCCACAGCATTTGAAATCTGGAGGCTGATGGGTAGGCACCCAGTACAGTTCTGCCTTCCTTTGCTGCTGTTGCTGTGGTAACAGCCTAGGCTGCTAGGATGCTTTGGCAGGTGGGTGTGCCCAAGGAGAAGCCCCACAACAGAGCTGAGCAAAACTCCAGGGATGCTGTTGAGAAAGAAGAGGTACTGACAGAGGGACTCAAGTTCAGGGATTTCCCAGAGTTTCCTGGAAGGAAAGACTAGCCAGGTCATCTGACTGCAGGCAACAGATACAGGGGAAAATGTAGCAAGGGTCCCCATAGAAAGTGTGAGTCCACAGAAGCTAAGCAAGGAGACATGTGCCCATACTTAGCTAGCCTGAGCCCTCCATGGCCTACAGAGATATGAACCACATAGGTGACCCAACTCCATTCCCTGCTTAGTCCTAAGAGCTGTACCACCTGGAGGCCCTGGGAACTATAGGACTCAGTTTAACAACTCACTGCTCCATGGTTTTCATCTTGCTCCTGAGCCGGCGGGCCTCTTCCCGTGCTTGTTTGGTCTCATCCTGCTGCTGCTCCAAGTACTTCATCTGCTTCTGAAGATCAAACACACCCATACCAGGAGCCATAGCTTAAGTCACTGGGAAAACTTCACTGGAGAACTGTCTATACCATATCTTTTGAAAATGCTAATATATGTCCCCAAATGCCAGGAGGTAAGCCCCACTCTGGCTTGTGCTTTTTCTGCCATGAGGCTCTAGGCCAGCTACTTCCTCGCTTACTGGCCTGCTTTCTCCTGAGATATGTCTTATCATAGGCACAACCTACTGCCAGCGTTCATAGGCCTAGTGTGAGTTGCCATGGTCCAGTGATCTGAGCCTCATGGTACATGTTGTACAGGTAGCTGAAGAAGTCCAGGACACAAACCCAGGCCTCACCATCCACCATCCAGACGCACAGTTGCCAAGATAGGACAACTGAGCCAGGCCTAGCTGGCCAGGTTGTCCTAAGCATAAGATCACTCATCTCTGATGTGAGAATGCCATCAGAGACTCCTGCTCTGCAGACAGGTGCTAGTTTGCTCCTTCCCACCAGCTATGCCATGTGATGTGGCTCAGACCCTGACTAGGAACAGAGACAATGAATATCCTGGGGCCTTGTCTCTTCATAAAGATGGCTCCCTTTCCCTTTCAAAGTGCATACAGCAAGCACTGCTCCTGCCTAAAAGGCCAGAATATCAATCATGGGTTCAGATCAATCGCCTTACGGCCCTTGGAGAGCAAGAGGCTCACCATCCCAGGCTGATAGAAAATTCATCTGGGTCTAGGGCTGTTTGCTCTGCAGGCTTTGATCTGCTCGGTCAGCTCAGCACAACCAACTTCAAAGGCCCTTGCTCTTCCCTGGGATGCTGTTTGATCTGACTCCAGAGAGCAACCTAGCCAAGATCTGGAGTGCTAATGGAAGGTTCTTCAAGCTGGCCTCATCAGTGGAGCATGAACCATTATTGGAAATATGGCCCAGCCTCACTGAGATCTTAGTTGAGCATTCTCTCTGTGAAGTGCTGAAAAAGCTTCTTGTCTCTCCAAACTACCGAGTACAGAATCTACAAGCACAGTCAATATATCACACTTCTTATGGATTGGATGGGTATGGTACAGGAGGACTTGGGGAAGAAATAATCAGCCTCCATTTTACAACTCCACAAACCAAGGTATTGACTAGGGCAGAACCAGAAGATAAGCCCTAAATAGTGAGCCCAACACTAGGGCTATATCTCCCTACCAACTCTGGGCCCACAAGACCAGAACCCACTTTGAGTGTGGAGCACAGCATCTCAGCCTTGCCTAAGGCCTGCTGCAGAGATTCCACAGTGGCATTGCGTTCTTCCAGTGTGTCTCGCAGAGTATCAATGATGACCTGGCTGTCCTGTTTTTCCTTCTCTGGAACAGAGGGAAGAGAAAGGAGAAAGAGAGGTCAATGTACCTATCAGCATGAGAATATGGGTAGCACCTCATCCCTGAGCCAGATAAGAAAAAAGGCTTAGGGCAGCGCATGTAGCTCAGTGGGTAGGGCACCAGCCCCATATACCAAGGGTGTTGGGTTCGAGTCTGACCCCAGCCAAACTGCAACAAAAAAAATAGCTGGGTGTTGTGGTGGGCACCTGTGGTCCAGCTACTTGGGAGGCTAAGGCAAAAGAATTGCCTAGGCCCAGGAGTTGGCAGTTGCTGTGAGCTGTGACACCATGGCACTCTACCGAGGTCGATAAAGTAAGACTCTGTCTCTAAAAAAAATATATCCTAAAAAAAAAAGAAACAAAGTTTAGGCTTGGCATCTATAGCTCAGTTGTTAGGGTATAAGCCACATACACCGAGGCAGGCAGGTTTGAACCCAGCCTGGGCCTGCTAAACAATGACAACAGCAACAAAACAACAACAACAAACAAAAAATAGACGGGTGTAGTCCCAGTTACTTGGGAGGCTGAGGCAAAAGAATCACTAAGCCCAAGAGTCAGAGGTTGCTGTGATGCCACAGCACTCTACCAAGGGTGACATAGTGAGACTCTGTCTCAAAAAAAAAAAAAAAAAAAAA